ACAAACACCTAGGATTTGCATTTCCTCTTTTGCCTATAGAGCCAGCTATGACCCCTACATTACCCCATAGGAATCTGACAATCAATAGAATATATGTTCTTGCACAGGAATAGGAAGCTCAAATACAAACCCCAAAGAAGGTATAACCCGCCCCCTCAACTCCATTTTGTCAGCTGCCCAGAACCATAAACCCATGTGGTTCTGCTTCATCAATAAACCATCTTTCCAATCAGCCTCTATGTTTCCAGTGGCTTTCTCCCAGCTTGGACCTGAACCAGATGGATATTTCTTCCCACAATAGAAAAGAGCTTTCACATTCTTTCTTCGTAATGAGCAATACAGTAAGTGCTTATCTAGGAAAGTACCTTCAATTTTTTTCCCCTACAATCTGTCCATATTGAGTCAAAAGTATCCATAAACATGTGAAGAACTGCATATAACCCTACTCTGGATTTATTTTTATATTCCTTCACCAGATATCATAGAATAGCAGTCACCAACTGGTGGTCTGTGGACCACTGGTGGTCCGCAAGAAAATTTTGGTGGTCCGCAGAAAAATTATTTCCATTTTTTAAATATTGCACTAAATCAGGGTCCTCAAACTATGGCCGGATATGTCCAATGAACATTTGTGTTGCTGTAGAGAGTCTCCCCCTTCAGGGTCTTTTTGTGCGGGTTGGAGGGGGGCAGAAATTCTGACTTGGGGTCTGCTTCAGCCTCCTGGTGTGGGGCTTTGGGCGAAGGCTGGAGGGAAGTGCTGCTGGTGGCAAGGAGCCGGAGGGCCTTGTTCCAGTGGGACTGCATCATGGCCTGGAACTGGCTGACCACCTCAGCCCGCTGAGCCTCCAGGCGCCAGTACCTGGCCTTGCACTCCTGCAGGTTTTCCCTCTGCTTGGAAAGCCTATGCTCATAGTCCTGGGTGAGGCACTTCTGCTGAACCTCCTTCTAGGTCAGATCCAGTTTGAACTGAGCCAGCTGTTTTGCCAACTCTTTCTCGTGATGGCTGCTTAGCTTCAACAAGTGCTAAGGAGCCCAGGAGGGCAGGCGAGGAGTGGCTGGCAGGAGAGGGGTGAGTAGAGGCCAGCGAGGCGCCCCTCGAAGTGAGTGACATCGAGTTGGCCATGCCCACCCAGTCACATGACCATCTAGCCATGCCCAGCCAGCCAGTCATTAGGCAGATCATATTAATGATCCGTGGGATTTAAAATTATGAATTTAGTGGTCCCTGAGGTCCAAAAGGTTGTGGACCCCTGTCATAGAATGTAAGTTCTACCTGTAGGACATCCTGGCTTAATGAACCTGCCTGTTCATATCCCATAATATTGGAGCTAGATACCTTCCAATGTAGGCGCTTTGCTTATTTATTAAATTTATATGTTGCCCATTTCATCTGGAGATGTTATACTTTTACGATGTGCATTCCTAATAACACTCAGCAAATTATTTGGTCTATAGTTAGAGAGATCTTAATTATTCTCTGTAATAAATTATAATATGCAGGATGATAGTTGGTTTCCAGTCTTTGGGTGTTTGATCTATTTATATGAACATACATAGCTCCTAGGTCAGGTATATTACCTGTCAGGTAGCTTTGATGAAATCTGTAGGAATGTCACCAGAGACTGTCTTGCTTTCATGTGGCCATCTAACGTTGGAAGAAATATCTTCTGTTCCAAGTGGGGAGAAAGACACTAGAAACATGGTGGCTGATTGGAATTATGGTTTTTAATGGTGGACAGGACCACATGGTTTGAGGTCCTGGACAAAAAGCATATGGCTGAGAGAGAGCATATGGTATATACGAGACCGCCTTCTGCCACCAACAACCTCCCACTGACCAATACGCTCCCACAGAGAGGGGCTCCTCAGGGTGCCGTCGGCCAAACAATGCTGACTGGCAACTCCCAGGGGGAAAGCCTTCTCTGTGGGGGCACCAGCCCTCTGGAATGAGCTGCCCCTAGAGCTCCGTCTTAGCCCCGACCTACGTACTTTTCACCGCGCCCTTAAGACCCTCCTGTTCCAGCAAGCCGGACTGGCCTAATATGAATTTTATTGTGGTGTATGTGTGTTTTAAATTTGCGGGCCAATTTTATATATTGATTTTAATTTGGTTTTAAATTTTATAAATTTATGTGTTTTAATATGGCTGTACACCGCCCTGAGTCCTTCGGGAGAAGGGCGGTATAGAAATCTAATAAACTTGAAACTTGAGAGAGAGAGATTTATATCCCCTGTTCGGCTTTGAATTTGAGCTTGTATTCTGATTGGTTGTCAGACTCCCATGGGGCCATGCAGGGGTAACTTTGTAGGCTGTCTGTGTACCAGGCTTGGTTGACTCTTGCTGGGTGGTGATGTAACAAAAGGGCTTTGGGCAATTCCTACTGTGGCTCTGCCTGAAGGAGGTAGATCTTTATTATGTAGAATAGACTGGCCCAGGCCTTAATGGCCCATTGACAAGGTGGGGGGGGGGTGAGTTTCTGCCTCCCTTTTAGGGGAAATATTCTGTCCTTTTAATGTTTCCTAAAATATCTCATTTTCCTAGGAGAGGGGTGGGTGCTAACTTCCTGCACTCCTAAGAAATAATTGGAAGCATGAGCTTAAGATCAGGGGTGGGTTCTACTTATCTTTACTACCAGTTCGCAACGGGGCTGCGCGCGTCCTAACCACTCCACCACCACAGCTAATAATAAATAAAAGATTTATTGTGTTGTTCTGCTGTGCCTGTTAGATCAGGTGACAGAAATCCAGTTTATAAATCAGTTTATAAATGAAATACCGTATTTTTCGGACTATAAGATGCACCGGAGTATAAGACGCACCTTAGTTTTTGGGGAGGAAAATAAGAAAAAAGCTGATTGGATCGGTCTCCCAGAATACCCCCAATCAGCTGTTCTCAGAGGTGAACTTTAGCAACAGGTTCATTGGTTGTGAGCTCTGTGCCTTGCTTTTTTTCAAGCCTCTGAAACGGAGGTTTCAGAGGCTTTTTTCTCAGCCTCTCAAATGGGGATTTCAGAGGCTTTTTTTCCAGCCTCTCAGAGATTTCAGAGACTTTTTTCCAGCCTCTCAAACAGAGATTTCAGAGGCTTTTTTTCCAGCCTCTCAAATGGAGGTTTCAGAGGCTTTTTTTCAGCCTCTCAAACCTCCGTTTCAGAGGTTGGGCAGGGCTACATTCGGACTATAAGATGCACCCAGATTTTCACCCTCTTTTGGGGGATAAAAAGGTGCGTCTTATACTCCGAAAAATACGGTACATGACACAGATTTCCATTCAGGATATAGCAGTAGCTCATATTTCCTTTCCATTCTCCAAAATATGTGGTTCAGGACTAGCGTATTTTTGGTCACACCCACGTGAATGCTATCAGTCCCTTCAATGGTGAAAATGTAACTGCAGCAAAAATTGAATAGGAAGGAACTTGCTTATTTCTCATCTCCATAGCATGCTTGGTTTGCCAAGATGAAAACGAACAATGGAATGTAGTTTCGCAAGTTTTGGAAGAAAGGGTATTTTCTCATGACTGGTAAACTACAAACTGGCCTGTTGATTTGTATCAGAAAGAATTTGGCTATTGATTGCTAGGGAGGTAAAAGTATAGAATAAACCAGCCACATCAAGGAATGAGTAGCATCTCATCTTTGTAACAAAGTAATTTGTTGTTGTGTAAGGGAAGGTGTATTTAAGCTACATTATCCTTATTAGTGCTGTTGCTATTCAATTAAAGTTGTATTTTTTATGGGGATTTTGTCCCTCTTCTGTTCAGACATGTTCAATTAGAAGCTGCCCGGACGAGTCCATGTGGTTTTGTTGGCAAGGTTTTTCAGAAGTGGTTTGCCATTGCCTCTTTTCTAGGCTGGGAAAAAGTGACTGGTTTAAGGTCATCCATCTGGTTTTGTGTACAAGGTGGGACTAGAATTCCCAGTGTCCTGGTTTTTAGCCTGGTGTCTTAACCCACTGCACCAAATTAGCTCTCATTTTCTGGTTTAGAGAAGTTCAAAACCTATTCTTCTAATCATAATGAGAAAACATTCTGTATTTCTTTGGGACCGTAAAGATCTGGCCATTCAAGGGGTGGTCCATTACTTCTCCTGAATACTGCATACCACTCCTGGTTCCAACATTTTTACTTCTGGAAACTCTAGGACAGGGTTGTCAAACTCAATTTCATTAAGGTTGTATTTAATCTTGGGGGGGCTAGGGTGGGCGTGGATGAGGTGGGTGTGGCCAGCTCAACGTCACTCGTTTCGGGGGCACCTGTGGTGGCCAAATGCTAAGGCAGGACTTCCCTCAGACCCTCCCTCACTCTCATTATAAACTACCTACATTCCTTCCTTCCTCCTTCCTTCCTTCCTTCCTTCCTTCCTTCCTTCCTTCCTTCCTTCCTTCCTTCCTTCCTTCCTTCCTTCCTTCCTTCCCTCTTCCTTCTCCTTTCTTCTTCCTTCCCCTCTTTCCTTATTTTTCCTTCCTTGCTCTCTTCCCTTCTTTTTCTTTTTCTTTGTCTTTCCTCTTTTCCTTTCTGCTTTCCTGTCCCTTCTTGCATGCTCAAATGAAAAAGGGGAAATATTTCTCCTTTTGTTTTATTTTTAGTTTGTTTTGCTAGCCCTCTGCCGGTGAAAACAGAGCTCGTGGGGGCATGTGTGGCCTGCCTGGGCCCTCTTTTTGGTTGCGACGGCCTCCTGCAGCCTTCTGAGTTTTGGGGGGGGCATGCGTGGAGCCCCCCAAGCTCCATTTTCTCTGGCAGAGGCACCGCGGGACGGTCCATTGCTGTTTCCAGGGGGGGGCCCCACGCACCAGATCTAAGCACCCCGTGGGCCAGTTTGAGTTTGACACCCCTGCTCCAGGAACATCCACAAAATGGCTGGACTGGCAGCTTCTTATGATGTTTCTGCTCCAAAAATAATAAGAATCACGCATCTTTGTTACAATACTTTTTGATATATTGATAAATCTATGCTGTAATACAAGCATTATTCTAAAAAGCTTACATATCTTTCTAAACCAGCAAAGACTATGACTGTTACCAATGCTACCCAAAAATCAGTGAAAACCACGGCTCATCCTGAAGTGACTTCTAAGGTCCAAACAATCACCAACAAGACCATCCCTGCTGCACAATCTACCGTTGCCTCCCAAACAGATAAACCCACATTACCTGGCAGTACAAAGCATTCGCCAACTGAATCTGGGACACAGAAGACCGCTGCAGTTCCTGTAACTAAGCCATCGTCTGCTTTGGTGACGGGTATGTACCAACATTTCACTTCCTACTTGATTGTTGTCTAGATAGCATCTGCAGCTCACCTCATTCAATTCATCATGATTGTCTTTGTCTTTAAAAGAAACTTTGCCAGAACTTATAGAAATGAGGCACATCTCTTCTTAGGTTACTCTAAAAAAATCAGAATATTATGGGGAATTGATTACATTCATGAGCATTTGGTTTGTTTCTGACATACGACCTTAATACCAATTCAAGAGAAACTATGTAGTGAACTAACAAAATGCTATAACTTTTCCAACCAGATGTATTTCAGAAGTATTGGGATGACAAGTCCCAGAATTCTAAGCCAGCATCCAATGGAGGGCAGTCCAGCTGCTTCCCAGGAACAAAACTGTTCTTTAACAATGACAGTTCTGAAATACAGCAAAGACTATAAAAGTTTGCCTAACTAAGAAAGTGTGTCACCTAAACATCAGAAAGGAACAAACTTATCCGGTCCCTCCTAAAAGCAGATTCTACAAAGGACATCGTTAATAAAAAGGAAACCCCTTCCTAATAACTCTTGAATGCAAATTTGTGTTTTTCATATGCCTGTTGGAGTATGACAGCCATCAACTCTTGCCTTTGGCTGTGCTGTCACGGCTTAATGGCAGTTGAAGTCTAAAATTACTGGAAGCTGCAAAATTCCTTTTTCCTATGTCAGGCATGTGGGATGGAAAAACTGTCAATATATGTCCAAAAGGGGACAATAAAGATGGAGTGAAGCCCAGAGATTAAATTTCTTTGAGGGAACATTTAAGGTGGACTCATGTAGAATGGAGAGAACAAGAATAAGAGGTACTGTGATATCCTTCTCAAAATATTTAAAGCCAACCAGCTCCAATGACAAGGAAGAGATTTTTGCTTCAAATTAGGAAGAATTTCCCAATGATTCTATCGACATGTGAGATGATACGAATTATCCTCCAAAACATGTTGACATTAATTTAATATCTCCAAGTGGTGTGCAGGACGGGATGAACAAAAGAGCAACATAGGCAAGACCAAGCAAGCATTTGCTTTCCTGTTTCTGTTTGGAGGTGGCCAATTCTTACTGAATATTCTAGAGCACGGGTGTCGAACTCAAGGCCAGGGGGGGCGGATGCGGCCCACGGGGTGCTTAGATCTGGCCCACAGGCCCACCCTGGAAACAGTGAAGGACTGGCCCGCAGTGCCTCTGCCAGTGAAAACAGAGCTCAGGGAAGCTGTGCACCGCCCACCCAGGCTCTGTTTTCGGCCGTGATGGCCTCCTGCAACCCTCTGCCAGTGAAAACAGAGCTTGGGGAAGCTGCGCAGCTCACCCGGGCTCTGTTTTCGGCTGTCACGGTCAAAAATGGAGCATCAATGAGTGACATTGAGCTGGCCACACCGCCCGCCCAGCCCCCCCGAGGTCAAACACAACCCTGATGCGGCCCTCAATGAAATCAAGTTTGACACCTGTTCTAGAGCATTCACACAATTGTTATTCCCATTTTAGAATCATTAGAAACAATAACTCCCAAGTCTTTAGCACTGGTGTGAAGGTACTCTAAGGGTATTGCAAAGAGGTTCTCAATTGTCCACTCCTGCTCTAAAAGTCAGCCAAGAGAAATCCAACTTGGTCTGAGCTATGGTAAAGAATAGACTCTTGAGATAGGTTCCTACAACCCAACAGAATTCATGTTATTTGCCTGTTAAAACAGTGGTCTCCAAACTTGGTAACTTTAAGACTTGTGAACTTCAACTCCCAGAATTCAAGTCCACAAGTCTTAAAATTGCCAAGTTTGGAGAGCCCTGTGTTAAAGGATTAAATCACCACTTTTAAAGTAGAATAAAGATTCTTTTGAGTTCATCTGGTTCTTCCATAGATACGGTTTTCTTTAAAACATTTCAGAAACATTTGTTAGTAGTTTCTTCCAGAAAGTTGGTTGGGTTTTTTTTTTTTTTTCTTGTTCAACTTCCTACTCTCTTCTACAGAATGTATTTCCTGGTAAATTCCTGACCAATTACTAACCATAACCAACCTACTTAGTTTCTCAAGATCAGCCAACATAAGCTACATATCCTTAAAAAGAAATATGGTAACACATAATCAGACTTAAAAGAACAAGAACCTGCAAGCAAGAGCTATACAATATACACACTTATAAAAAATGAAAAATTAATACTTCAGCAAAAGTGTATGAACGTTTTTGTCTTTTTTTCTTTCTTTAAACCATTACAGAAGCTTCACCAATTCAAGGCAAGTCATCGGGGTTCAGTGCCAGCAGCTTCATTGGTGGCATTGTGTTGACTCTGGGACTTCTCGCCTTTGGCTATATTGGATGCAGATTCTATCACACAAAAAGAGGTGTTCAGTATCGAACCATGTACGTTGGATTGAATATTTTTGATCTTTCTCTAAATGTAATACTGATCTTTCTCTAAGTGTAATGCTGGCCAAGGTTTGAGGAAGAATGTAATCTGCTCAAGCACCAGAGCAGGGGTCGGCAACCTTAAAAACTCAAAGAGCCACAAAGGGCTTAACCGGAAGCCCCCCGTTCAATTCTGGAGCTGACCGGAAGTCCGATTCCCCGCACCATAGAGTCTCCTCCTAGCGCGGTATCCTTTTTCCTCTACCTGTCCTAACTGAAAGCCCTGTCAATTGTGACTGGAAAACCTGCCCCTTGCCATAGAGTCTCTTCCTGGTGCGCCTTTCCTCCCCATAATTGGAAGCTCCTCTCAAAATTGTGGCGGCGACAGGGAGCCGCAGCAGAGGGATGAAAGAGCCACATGCAGCTCCAGAGCCGCGGGTTGCTGACCCCTGCACTAGAGAATACGACACGATACAGAGTTGGCAGGGCTGACATAATTGTATTTTTCTAATACAATAATGAAACTAATGGTAGGATGATGGAACCTGTAACTTCAGATGTGTTAGCCCAGCAAGGTAGAGCAGACCAAGAAACCAGAAACTTACTCAAAACCAGACTGTCAACATCATTCAACCTTAAAACTCGCTGATTGAATTGCTTGAAGTCAGCAGATAAATAATTTCAAAGACTGAGCCAAAGCAAATCTTAAATTAAATTGATCAGTGGTCTCACCTGATAGAAGGAGTTTTTCTATTCTTTTGCAGGTCAGGTGGACACAAAAACATTAATGTATATTCTGCCGTTCTCATCCAGACATACTTCTCCAACATTTTAACGCAAACTCAGGCACAATATTACACCCTTCTGCTAACTGTGTGGAATCTTGATTTTCCCTCTAATAATAATAGAGTAGAATAAATAGGAATAGGAATAGGAATAGGAATAGGAATAGGAATAGGAATAGAATAGAATAGAATAGAATAGAATAGAATAGAATAGAATAGAATAGAATAGAATAGAATAGAATAGAACAGAACAGAACAGAACAGAACAGAACAGAACAGAACAGAACAGAACAGAACAGAACAGAACAGAATAACAGAGTTGGAAGGGACCTTCGAGGTCTTCTAGTCCAACCCCCTGCTTAGGCAGAAAACCATACACCACTTCAGACAAATGGTTATCCAACCTCTTCTTAAAAACTTACAGTGTTGGAGCATTCACAACTTCTGGAGGCAAGTTGTTCCATGGATTAATTGTTCTAACTGTCAGGAAATTTCTCCTTTCTGGCTTCTCTCCTTGATTAGTTTCCACCCATTGCTTCTTATCCTACCCTTAGGTGCTTTGGAGAATAGCTTGACTCCCTCTTCTTTGTGGCAACCCCTGAGATATTGGAACATTGCTATCATGTCTCCCCTAGTCCTTCTTTTCATTAAACTAGACATACCCAGTTCCTGCAACCGTTTTTCATATGTTTTTGCCTCCAGTCCCCTAATCATCTTCTCTGCACTCTTTCTAGAGTCTCCACATCTTTTTTACATCGTGAGTGAACCCTAAGATTGGACTTGTCATCCTAATGAAATAGCAATACTTAAGAACGAGGTGTTAGTAATTTGTCTGGTTGCTTTCATCTTAGCTCTTTTAAGTTTTTATTCCTCTGAAAGGCGAGACTAGCACCCTCTTACACAAGAGGAAATGTCATAGTACTAAACCCTTTGGAACCCTTCCTAACAACAAGAGTTCTTTTGTTTACTCTGTTATTACTTCCTTTCATTGGCTCAACATGAGTAGAGGCCAGGAGCTCTGCAACATCCCGTCTTACGAACTATTTCAGCCCCTGGTTGGACCCTACTTTTTTCTGTTACAGCGGAAAGCAAACTCTTTGTCTCCTGCTGTTGTTCACAAAAGTATAGGCCATATACTGGAGCACGTAGCTGATCCTAAAATAGAATAACTTTTTCTTCCGCCTTTGAAGGAAACCGCACTCTTTCATTTTGTGCTTCCTTGCCACCCGACTCTAATTCCAGAATTTTGCTCAACCAAGCTTCTTTGGATTATTTTTAAGCATCCAGTAAAAAAAGGAGGCATTTTCTTTCCTTCCAGTAAGACCAGACACTATTTTTGCTTTGTGGTGATTGTGGTTCCCAGATAGTGCTGGCTCTTTGTGGTTGTCCAGACAAGAAGCACAAGCAAAATCTTTTTATTGTGAGGTTCCATTAACAAAATCTCCGTAAGACTGAAAGTAACTCTCACCTCCTTTCCTTTTACTCTCTGGAAAGCTAAGGCTGGCTCCCTTCTGAAATGCTTATAACTTCACTTTACTTTATTGATTAGCCCTTGGGCCATAGTAAAGTGCAGCGTTCCAGACACAAATTATTACTAAAATCTAATAAAAAACAATTTAAAATGGAATTGGATAAAATACAATTTAAAATGAAATTGGAATAAAATACAATAATTTAATATAAAGGTAAAGGTTCCCCTCAAACATACCTGCTAGTTGTTCCTGACTCTAGAGGGCGGTGCTCATGTCTGTTTCTAAGCCGAAGAGCCAGCGCTGTCTGATGACAATTCCATGGTCATGTGGCCGGCATGACTAAACACCGAAGGCGCATGAAACACTGTTACCTTCCCACCAAAGTGGTCCCTATTTTTCTACTTGCATTTTTGCATGCTTTCAAACTGCTAGGTTGGCAGAAGCTGGAGCAAGTAACAGGAGCTCACTCCGTTCTGCGGTGCTAGGGATTTGAACTGCCGACTTTCTGATCGACAAGCTCAGCATCTTAGCCACTGAGCCACCCCGTCCCCTTACTTATATTAATTTAATATATTATTAAATGATATATTACTTATAATGATATATTATTAGATTAGATTAGATTTATTATATTATATTTATATTATATTATTATATATGCCGATCTCAGCCGAACCATTTTGCTTAAGTCCTGTGCTGTGTTAAATGTTATTTTCAGATTCTGGCTGCACATAAAGTAAGTTGTTTTGATATGGATATCCCAATGGTTCACTCATCATAGACCAAAATACCTATCTCTCACCCTCTTGTAGGCAACAATCAAATAGGATGTGAGCCAGGTTTTCTACCTCTGGCACTCTGCAAATGCAGAGACGTCCATTGTAGGGTATAGAATGGAATCTCCCATATCTGACCATTGTGTCAAGCTGTTCGAATCTCGCTCGCGTAAATATCTCCCTAAGATGTTTTGGCAATTGTAACTTCAAATAGCTGTCTGTTTGAAAAGTACGTTTGTACTTGCTCAGCCATTTGCTCTGCTTATCACACACACATGGACTTCCCTTCTATAGGTTGAGATAACCTTTACATAGCAGTTATCGACTCCGTGGCTTTTCTTCCTGTTTCCCAAGGCCATTCCCACACACCATCAGACATAGTTGTAGATTCCTATTCATGGGAGGAATGTTCTACCAAATGCAGGACAACTTTACAGTTCAATTATTTTTAACTTCAGGAGATTCTATTTTTTCAGTTACAGTAGGAATTTTACCAAGCTGTATTGGTAAAGAAACCACAAAGTGCTTGTTCCTTGCCCAGATATCCTGTTCTCCACCTTCATTGTTTTTACTATTGAAATAATTTCCCCCACCTCAACTTCTATTTGTATATTTAATTGCATCCCATTGGAATGAATGGACAAAGGATACATGTATAATAGGGAGCATATATTACAGGTACACCTCATTTACTGAACACAATTGGGATTGACATATCTTGGTTGTTGAGTGAGGCAGTCACTAAGTAAAATCATGACTGCTTAGGAACTTCCTTCAGCTTTTCTTTGCTTTAAAAGGACTATAAAACTCATAAATGCGAGGATTGATTGCAGAGTTTTTTTTTCATCACCTTTCATCATCAGTTGGCTCTAGTGATTAAGACACCAGACTAGAAAATGGGAAATTATGAGTTCAGGTCAGTGGTGAAATCCAACTTTTTTTTACCACCAGTTCTATGGGCGTGGCAGGGGAAGGATACTGCAAAATCTCCATTCCCACCCCACTCCTGGGGGAAGGATATTACAAAATCTCCATTCTCACCCCACTCTGGGGCCAGCCAAAGGTGGTATTTGCCAGTTCTCCGAACTACTCAAAATTTCCGCTACCAGTTCTCCAAACTGCTCAAAATTTCTGCTACCGGTTCTTCAGAACCTGTCAGAACCTGCTGGATTTCACCCCTGCTTCAAGTCCTGTCTTAGGCATGGAAGCCAGCTGTGTTCTGACCCAGCCTTAGCAGAACCAAGAAACAGAACCCCTTGTCCCGAAAAAAACCCCTCTTTATTTAGCATTCCCACACCGAAAAGTCCAGGCAATAATCCTTCCAAGGGTTAACTGAAGTACAGAACTTATCAGCCCTTGGATAATTGCAAGGCCAGGAACTTCCAGCCACGAAGCTGTAAATCAAACTCTCAAGCAGGCTCTGAGACACAATCACAATGAAAAAATCCTCCCCTTTAGCTTCTATTTATTCCCCAGCCAGGGAGGGGCCATTCAGCATCCCCATGTGCCTTTCTGAGTTGGCTCCTGGTACTCAATTGTTCTCCTCTCCTGACAGCTCTGTGCATAGGCGCATCTGTAACAGGCCCCAGCTGTTCTTCTTCCCCACTTATCTCCGACTGTGAAGGCAGCTGGGAAATGTCGGACTGCCCTGGCTCTCTCTCTGCTTCCAACGCAGAGCATCCATCATCAGAGCCTTCCCCAGACTCCAGGACTGGCCCAAGTTCCTCCCCAACCTCCTCATCGTCCGAGTCTGGCAAGCCACAACAAGCTGGATGATTTGGGGCTAGTCATTCTCTCTCAGTCCAGCCCACTTACAGGTGGTGGTTGTGGGGAAAATAGGAGGAAGGTGTGTTGGATATTTCACTGCCTTGAGTAAAAATAATAAAGGCGGGACATAAATAAACAAATATAAGTGTGAAGTTGCTAAGCAATGTAGTTGCTAAACGAGAACTACCATATTTATCGGCGTATAACGCGCACTGGCGTATAACACGCACCTTAATTTTTTAAGAGGGAAGTTTCAGGAAAAAAAGTAAATTTTAAATAAAGAACTTTGAAGCATAACATAACTTTAAATGTCTAAGTCTAAAAAAAGAACAACTAAAAAAAACCCCAATTAACTATTTTTTTTAAAGCTCCCAAAGGGGAAAAAAACTTACCCAACAGAACAGGGGTCTCCAATCTTGGCAACTTTAAGACTTGTGGACTTCAACTCCCAGAATTCCTAAGTCAAGGCAGGCAGGCAGAAAGAGCTGCTCACCGATGAGCTTGATTGCAGCCGGGGATATTCAGTTGATTGCTGATGCATGGATTGCGATTGTCATGCAATCAGCAACTAAGGAAGGCGGAGGCTGGGAGTGGGGGGGGAAGAAAAAAAGAAACTTTTTTCCTTTTACATGGCTCTGGCGATCCTGATCCTGAGTTGCCTGATTAGCAGGCAATTCAGCTGGGATGTCAGAGCTTGGCTGCTCAGAGCCATTTAAAAGGGAAAAAAGCCTCTGATGATCCCGGGGCTCAGCTGGGCATGGGGGCGGGGGCAGGGATTTTTGCTGGCGTATAACACGCACATGCGATTTCCACATTATTTTCAAGATGAAAAAGTGCGCGTTATACGCCGATAAATACGGTATCTGTGTTCTTTCCTATCACCAAGTTCATTCCTCGTCGTATTTCACTGACATTTTTGTGCTCAAATGTAGTAACAAGCATCGTCAAATACAAGAGCTTGCACAGCCCAATATTCAGTCCCATTGGTCACGTTTTTGGGGAACGTCAAAGAATGAAATCCTCAGCAACAGATTTGTTATGAGGAATTACAGTGGCTCTGTTCTCATGCTATGATCAACATCTCCAGTCACTATATCATGCTGTCTATATAGTTTGTATGAAGATTCAACAGTGCTCTTGTTAATTTATATACAATCATAATAACCTTAAACACTGGAGTGGTATGATGGCCTAGAGGTGGAGCTCTCGCCTCACACTCAGGAGGCTGTGAGTTCGATCCTATATAGAGGCAGATATTTCTCTCTCTGGGCACAATGAGAATATTGCTGAACAAAGCTCTGCATTGGTGACATTTTAATCTGGTCATTAAAACGCTCTACTAGCTCCATTCAGTTGCCTAAACTCCAAGGGATTATGGGGCCGTTAAATGATGATGATGATGTTGATAATAACCTTAAACACTGTGTTGATCAGTAGAACCTGGCTTGTTTGCAAAGGTCTAAAGTTTTTTTCCTAGCACAAACAATGGTCCAGAAAGTTTTGTATATTTGTTAATTTCTTTTAATCATTCTGTGGCTCCCAGTGAAGTGTATAACATAGTTCCTTTTCTTTTCTTTTTTCTCCAGTGATGAACATGATGCCATTATTTAAAGTCCATGCTGAAAAGACAGAAGGCCACGCCCGTTACTCCTGCTTTTAGGGACACTTTCTCTCTGGGAAAATATTATCTGATCTGATATTGTTTTGTCTCTTTTGACATACATTGATCTTCAAATCTGGAGAACTCCACAAGGGCTTTCTTTGCATATTCAGAGTATCTTCAATGAAGCGTTTCAAGGAATTGAAATTATACCTGGTTTTAATCACTCTATTTTGAAAACCTTTAAAGTAAGCATTGTTGCTTCTTAGCTCTTTTTCTACAGAAGATTGGAGATGACAAGTCCATAACAGAACACAACTTCAAGTATCGGATCCTGAACCTTTTTGTTTTACTCTCCAGTTTTTGTTTTTGTTTTTCATTCAGGAAAACAAATCAGACATTTGCTGGACAAATAAGAGTAACCCTTTCCACAGAAGTCACAAAAAACAGTATTTCCAGATCACCTGTGTAAGATTTGTGGAATATCATTGGAATATTGTTTCGTTAACAATCTGGGGAAGCTCAAATATTCTACAGGTAGCCCTCGGCTTACAACGATTCATTCAGTAACTGTTCGAAGTTACAACCGCACTGAAAAAAGTGACTTATGACCATTTTTCATACTCAAGACGTGTGAAAAACACATTCAGATGTTTGGCAACTGACATACATATGACGGTTACGCTATCCTGAGATCCTGTGATCATCTTTTGCAATCTTCTGGCAAGCAAAGTCAATGGGAAAATCAGATTCATGTAAAACCATGTTACTAACTTAACAGCTGTAATGATTCCCTTAACAGCTGTGGCAAGAAAGGTTCACTTAACAAACGTCTCACTTAGCAACAGAAATGTTGGGCTCAATTGTAAGTCGAGGACTACCTGTATTTGCCTAGTTGACTATTTAAGATTTTTTTTTTTTTTACTTTGTGGTTCCCAACAAACAAATACAACAGATAGGAGTACAAAAATGAATTTGACGCTTTTGAGGTGGAGAGATCATATTTTTTAAAAACATTATAAACGTTTAAAAACATGATAGATGAATAGGACTGTCCTGAAAGAAGATTCATATAAAATTGGTGTGTTCAGATTTTTTTCCCTGGAAAGGAGGGCCAATTTCTTCCAATTTGAAGGCATTCTGAAATCATTCATTTGAGGCCCATCTAATGCAGGGCTATCAAACTTCTGGCCGGTGGGCCGGATGTGTCACGTGTTGGCCACGCCCATGCCCGGTTTAGCAAAGGGGGAAAAAGTCCCAATACGTCACGTGACACCACCCTGACGATGCGGGTTTGACACCCCTAATCTCGTGAGATCCATTCTTTTTGAAGTCACCATGTCAGAAATTCACCAGGTCGTATGAGTTAGCTCTTAGACAAGAAGCTGTGTGACTTAGCTGTTAAATGCAGACAATTGTGTAATTAATTATTCATTGTCTGTGTTAACACTTTTCACAGAGAAACTGATTAAGGAATAAACATCCAGAACATTTACGCCAATAATTATTTAATAACTTAGGCAATTTTGTGTGCTATGTAGTAATCATCAATGATAACTCATTTATTCCATGCTGTCCAACATCCAGAGTGTATTTCTGAAATGAAACAAATTTGACATTGGTCAGGCATGGGGCACTTAAAGCATAAATGTGCTCTGCACAATTCCCCATCTGATTGATTAAATTTTCAAAGCAGCTCTCAATGGCTTCCCTCAAGGAACCCAACATTCAGAGGACAAATATCATCACTGCTCTCCAACCGTCTTGGAGATGAGACCTTTTTTCCCTTTCTTCAGAAGGCATAAAAGCAGTCTCTGTTGCTGCCAATGGAAAGTATTATTCACACAAGTTGTTGCACGGAAGAGATTTGAATAGGAATTTCTGTAAATTTCTGAAAGGTCTTAACTCTTTCCAATGGTGTGAATCCCCCAGTACAACATTTTGCCTTATATCTTTCATTAATGACAGTAGATAATTGCTAATTATAGAGTTGCTTATGGAAATACAGTAGTAGAGTTACTTAATAGAAAGTAAAGGGATAAAACTCGCCTCACCACAGAACTACATTTCCATCCGTCAGTCAAGTCTTAAGGTAGCCTCTACCATGATAGTTTAAATGGAGTTTGATAAAAGTACTGTAGACGTTGTAATCTTCTTTATTTGATCTTTGCTGAGTTTCAACCACTGTTACAAGAAAGAGAAAGTTTACATTGTATTATATAATTAACTCTCACTGGGGCGGGGAGTATCTGTCTTGATGGACTACTACGGTCTTAATTCTACCTCTTCGTAGTATGATCTTTGCTTCCACACTTCCTTTCAAAGCCCCATAATAATCAGATTCCTCTGGCCCGCTACACACATGACTTAAATAGGAGCAGCACGCAACAGCCTTTTTTGTAGTTTTCTTCACTGCTGTTTAACTTTACAAGTGCATTGGGGTGCGTATTTCACAGCTGCAGAAGATTGATGCGATAAATGGGTCTTTTCCTCTCTCTTTTGATTCTCTCTGTATATACCAGAGTAATTAATGGCCGTGGTACTTGCTTTGCTCACTGTAAGATGACTACTAATTGCATGTCCCCCCTTAGGACTTCAGTGATATACCGAAGATGCAGCAGAGAGCGGAGCTGTGGTTGAATGTGTCCCTAACACACAACAACTCGCAACTTGCAATTTTTAACATACGCCTTTGGTACTGGTAGTCTCTAAAGGCCATTGCTTATTCTGTAATACAATTTTAAAATGCAGGTGGTCCTTGACGTACGAGCACTACTGAGATTGGAACTTTTATCAACTAACCGATGCAGTTGTGTGTCATCACATCTCCATTCCCAATTTTTATGATTTCCTTTGCTAAGGAAAAGAAATAAATCTGGCATCCCCCTTTGATTCGACAGCCGGCAAGGCAATCACATGATCTCAGGACATTGAAACTATCATAAACAGATGCTGGCTGCTAAGTGCCCGATTCACAATCCCATCCAAAGATTGTAAGTGTGATGATTGGCTGCAAGTCACTTTTTTCAGCACTGTCGTAACTTCAAGCAGACGTTAAGTGAACGGTCATATGTTGAGGACTTCCTGTACTTTTTTTTTTTTTTAAAGCAAAATCAAGACCACAGCAGTATGCTTGTGTCCCCCTCTCTCCAGAATAAGCAAACGATAATACAATCTCCTTAGGGAATTTGAGAGATGAACTCTGATTTTTACCCCATCTTGAAGTCCAGTAATTTTTTTTTTACTTGGCTTCATATGAATCTGCTACGCCAATGATCCATGCAGGAATGTTACCACTTTCAAACTCTCTTGAACTTGCCACTTCAGATAGAAGGCTAATTATTACGATAGAAATAAATTTCTGATTCTGTTCACATGACACGTCGGGCTAAATGGTCATTGACTATCTCATGAATCAACGGATGGTGCAAGTGTGCGAATGACGGTTTGGTGTGTGGACGAATTAAGCTAATTCTGTATGTTCTATATACTATTAATATAAGTTTAGAGTTGCCCTCCTTTAAGAAAAGGAAAAATAAAGTCTAAAAATGTCGGTTTTGTTCAATTAGTATTTCTGGGGCCTGTAAATGGGATACTGGAGCAGCTGCAGGCAGCCTGTATTTGAAGTGAATAGTTCACCCATTCTGTTGCATTTTTTGTTAAACTGGTAGTCCTTGATTTACAACTCTTTGTTTGGTGACTGTTCAAAGTTACAACGGTACTGAAAAAAGTAATAATTTATGAGTGTTTTTCACACTTATGACCGTTGCAGCATATCCATGGTCACATGATCAAAATTCAGACACTTGATAATTGACTCACATTTATGACAGTTGGAGTGTCCCAGGGTCATGTAATCCCCTTTTGCAACCTTCTGACCAGCAAAGTCAATGGGGAAAACCAGATTCACTTAACAACCGGGTCACTAACTTATCAACTGCAGTGATTCACTGAACGACTGAGGCAAGAAATATCGTAAAATGGGACAAAACTCACTTCACAAATGTCTCCCTTAACAACAGAAATTTTGGAATCAATCTTGGTCGTTAAGTCGAGGATTCCCTGTACTCCATTCTGAATAAAGATTCTAAGAAAAAAACAACTCTATTCAGGGATGGGTATGTGCCTGGTTACAACTCATGAGAGATTTCTGTGCTGGAACAGTTCTTGTGTAAGACAGAATGTGGAAACTCCAGGTTGACAATGTTTGCAATGCAAAAAGTGATGCTGAGATGTAGCAGAACATTCTCTGCTGTGCACATTGTAAATCCATATGGGCTGAAGCTACACTGAAGGGACACAATTTTATGGGTTTTGAGGGGGGGCAGTTAATTAAAGTAAGCAAGACATCAGATCTGTGCGTTGTGTCATGTCTTATTTGAATACTGCAGTAAGTGTGGCCCGCCAGCGGCCTGCGCAGATTGTTGCTGATCCCGACGAGGAGGCTGGTGTGGTGCTGCGCCAGCAGCCTGTGCAGCCGGCGCTCGAATTGGACAGCGAGGAGGCTGAAGAAGATGTGGTGCCAGAGGCAGGGGTTCAGTCAGGGCCTTCAGAACCTCCAGAGGCTCCTTTAAATGAAGAGGAGGAGCCTCTTCTCAATGCATAGGCACGCAGAGCTGCCAAAAGGCAGCTTTTGGTTCCTCAGGAGGAGGTCTCCTTGAGAGTAAGGCTTGTGGCTAATTGGCCACTCCCTTAGCCTATTTAAGAAAGAACGCAGCTTGCAACAAGCTTCAGGAAACAACTTTAGTTCGCTAATCATCGAGTTTGGATTTCTCTGCAGCAATGCTTCTGGGCTTTCTGCCAACTCCAGTAAGACTCTGACTATCTATCTGTGGAATTCTGGCAGGCTTATTAACAGCCAGCATTTGCTAAAACTGCGTTATTGAGTAAACTAAGTTTTGTTCAGAGTTTGTGTGTGCTGCATTCTTTGGGATCCGTAGCTGGGGCAGAACAGTAAGAGTGACTGCCTTCGCTAGAAGGAAGTCCTACGTCCTATCCAGCTGAGACTTTAAGACAGTAAAACACTCAATTACATATGAGGTCATTCTACTCCATCTCCTAAGTCATGCATAACAACAAAACCTATTGGTCCTGGAAGATGTAAGCTACCTATTGGGATGTACGTATGTTTACCCCAACTGGAAGGCCATGTATGAACCCACCAGAATTTTTGGCATTCAGAGAACAGGCGCAGAATGTGTGGCCCATCAGTAGTTATATTTCATCTAAATCAAACTGAGTTTCTCTGAGTTTTATCCGTCCTGGCCACAAGATTATTAATAATTTTTTGAAGCATTTGCTTTTCTAGTCTCTTGATAGTGGGGGGAAATATTCTACAGCGCACAATCACAGATTCCATGTCAAACAGTAAGTACCACAATGGCAAGCTGGTAGGGGATTTGCACCCCAATACACTTCCCCCCCCCAACCCACATCCCACTCTGCACCACTGCCCATGGTACTAATTCAAAATACCTTGTCCTCCCTCTATCAAACAGTCCTTTAACTTCTTGAAACGTAATTGTTAGATTTATATCCTATCTTCCCTCTTAAGAAATCACATCCTACACGGGAATCTCAGTTTATCTATTACTAACAGTCAGGAAGATTCAATGGGAGGGTGACTGGCCCTAAGGAAAGGCCATTTCCTCTAATCCTTTGCCAGTTTATAGGTTCAACTAGATCATCAGCAAGGACCTTCAGCCTTGGACAAGATCAGCAAATATTCCTTGATGCTTCTTTTCAGCTGAGATACAATCCTGTTCACTCAGCCAGTTCATCACAACTATCTAGTGCAGGGATATCAAACTCAAGGCCTGGGGGCTGGAGCTGGCCCACAGGGTGCTTAGATCTGGCCTGCAAGGCCACCCTGGAAACAGCGAAGGACCGGCCTGCGGTGCCTCTGCTAAAGAAAATGGACCTTAGGAGAGCTGCAGGTGACCCTCCCGAGCTCCGTTTTTGCTGGCAGAGGGTTGCAGGAGGCTGTCGCAGTCAAAGACTGAGCTTGGGAACCTGTTTTCACTGGCAGAGCACTCGGGCTGCCACAGGAGCCCCCAACATGAGTGACGTCAAGCTGGCCACACCAACCCTGGCCCCCTGAGGTCAAACACAACCCTGATGTGGCCTTCAATGAAATAAGAGTTTGACACCCCTGATCTAGTAGAATATACATATTGTGTTCGGAGAACACAGAAGCGAATAGTTGAGAAATTCTGCCTTTGCTTTGGTACCTGTTATATTTTTGGCATATTCACTGAAGAGGATTTTTTAAAAAAATCTTTTATTCTGGGCATACGTGAAACCTTTGGAATGTTCTTCGCTTCTTTACCAATCTCAGCTCCTCCTGAGCTTTGACTTTCTAAAGAAAAATCCCATGGCAATTCAATTACGGAAAAATTGGTCATAAACATGTTTATAATGTGCCCATTAGGCTATAAGGGTTTGAAAAGCATTCGGAATGGAATTCTGTACATTATGCTATGAAGGACCAGGACTCCAATATTAATTCTTTATAGTGCCAATAAAGGGAAAATATATGCAGTAAGAGGCATAATCGTTGCGCCCATGTAACACCTCTCCTGCGCGAGCTGCACTGGCTCCCGGTGGTCTCCGGGTGCGATTCAAGGTGTTAGTCATCACCTTTAAAGCGCTCCATGGCTTAGGGCCTGGGTACCTACGAGACCGTCTTTTGCCACCAATAGCCTCCCACCAACCAGACCAGTTCGTTCTCACAGGGAGGGACTACTCAGGGTACCGTCAGTCAAATTATGCCGACTGGCGACTCCCAGGGGGAGGGCCTTCTCTGTGAGGGCTCCAACCCTTTGGAATGAACTGCCCCCGGAAATACAGCATATCCCTGATCTCCGTGCTTTCCGCCGTGCCAAGACCCTGATGTTCCAACAGGTGGGGCTAAACATACGAACATGTGAATGATTTTTTAAAATGTTATCTAATTCTGGGTTTTATTTAATTGGCCAAACTAAGTAATAATTTTAATTAACAATTTTATGATGTTTGTGTAATATGAACCAAGAAATAGGTATGTAGGGGAGGCAGTAGTTCTTGAAATTCAGCTGCTCTAAAGAACAATCTCTTCTTCAGGCATAAATAGTTAAAAGACTGGCAAGGAACAATTTTTAATTTGCTGATTACATTTGTGTACAGGTAGTCCTTGACTTACAACAGCTAATGTAGTGACCATTCAAAGTTACAATGGCACTGAAAAAAGTGACTTATGACCATTCTTCACATGACCATTGCAGCATCCTTGTGATCATGTGATTAAAATTCAGTTACTTGGCAACTGCCTCATATTTATGACAGTTGCCGTATCCCAGGGTCATGTGATCACCTTTTGCAATCTTTGTCAGGCAAAGTCAATGGAGAAGCCAGATTCACTTAACAAATGTGTTACTAACTTAACAACTACAGTGGTTCACTTTAACCATTGTGGCAATAAAATGCGGCAAAATTCACTTAACAAATGTCTCAATTAGCAACTGAAATGTTCGGCTCAATTGTAGTCATAAATCGAGGACTACCTGTAATCTACTGAACATAATAATTTGCAAATCGAGTTTAAAAAATGTTCTGCATAATACTTGGCAACATTGCTTAATTTCACGAAGGTATTTAACACTATTTCATGAATTATGAAATACTTGAGTAATTACCTCTGTAGTTACTCAAGTATTCTACAATGAATATAGATACGACAGACACAGAATGTTTCTTTTAATCACATCAGTTTTATTTATGGTAAATAAAATATATTTTCAACTAGCCAACAAGTTACACCAAGCAATCTTTCCAGACTTTTCAAATTATAAATAGCAATAGCACTTAGACATATACTGGTTTTTACAGTCTTTTACAGCCCTCTCTAAGTGGTTTTACAGAGTCAGCATATTGCCCCCAACAATCTGGGTCCTCATTTTACCCACCTCGAAAGGATGGAAGGCTGAGTCAACCTTGAGCCTGGTGAGATATGAACTGCCAAATTGCAGGCAGCTGGCAGGCAGCAGAAGTAGCCTGCAGTACTGCACTCTAACCACTGCGGCACTGAGGCTCAACAGCTTCTTTTATTTAATAGCAGCAAACATTAATACATGAATCACCATTCACTCTTTATGTCACTCCAAACCATTATGAAATCATGTCCTAAAAAGGACCAGCCTATCCAGATCCCCAACTAGAATCACTTGAGAGATGATTGACCTCACAAGCCATCAACTTTGTGACCTTCATCAGAATATTGAGCTGCAGTTTAGATTGTATTTTGCAGATACTTGAAGCATCAGGATGTTGTGAATTAGCTTAGTGTCGTTCAGGAAGCATGAAAATGTATCCTTGGGGGAGAAAAACAGCACAGTTGTCTTCTTCACGAAAGAAATGTTCGCACGGTACCCTTGATGGTTCCTCTGCATATCGGGCATTTCCTAAGGGAAGGGGCACATTCCTTGCAAACAACCAAATGGCCACAGGGGATGAAGACAATGGACACTTCCTTGTCCATGCAGACTTTGCAAGTTCTCTCCTCTTGCAATCGTCTCAGTTGTTCTTCCATAGGTAAACCTGCAATTAAAGACTCTTTATAATCCATGCAAAAATGACATTTTGAATTATGCTTTATTTTAATGAAGGCATTCCTCACTTCCCTGCCATTCGCAACCCTTCCTAAATCCATGAATTTATGAATGAAAGCAAATATACGTGTCCTGGGATAATGTTGCAGGATCCAGTCTGGGTCGTTCGCTGGGACCCAGAGGTTTTGTGTTCTGAGCTTTTGGACTCGTGCTGGAGCCCATCCTCAGAGAACTTCTCTCTCACCAGAATGTATCACTGACACAGATTGGATCCTATCACCAATTTATATTGAGACATTTTACTGAAGAAAGGAAGACTATTCTATTTCAGGCCCAAAGACTTCCCTGTCCATGTGCATCCATCTTATCAAATTAAATTTTGAAATACTCAAAATATTAACCCGGCTCAGTTTTATAAACATTCGTAACTCCTATTATGAGCTATTTCACTGTAACCTGTTTTCTTAAAAACATTGCAATCCTTATATTCCAAATGCCACTCGTGTCTGTTTAGTAAATTGTTTACCTGAAACATCTTCCGTTGGAATGTATGTCATCTTCTTCTCCACTAAAGAAAGCAAGTTAAATATTGTTAGATCAAGTAACAAATTACCTCAGATTCATTAGAATGCAGATAAACACTAACACCCCACCCCCTGCTTAACACTTATGAGAATAACAGTGAACTGCTTTTGGGAAGTCTAATCAACAGAATTTCCTCTGCATTATCTATTACATATAAGAGGAAGAAAACTGTTTGCAACTCTTACCTATGAAAAACTCATAAATCCATTACAGTTGGGATTTACAGTAGACTAGGGTTACCTCTTCTCAAGAAAATGACAATTCAAAGCATTTCTCTAAGAAACTCACCAAACAAATCCTTGTATAATGCAGGATCACACTCCTGTAAACAATTTCTGAATATGTCTGCTGCAGAATTTCCTTTCACCAAGATGGTATCAATCAGTTCTCTAGCTTGCAAAGATGTCTGGGTTTTTTGTTTAATAACTTGGTGTTCCTGGTCACTTATTATTTTGGAACTTAATAAACTTTCCAGGATAGGAAGTGTACATGTCAAGCACTGAAACAATGCCATTCGATTCTTTCTGATTAAAGCCAGATCTGAAATATAAGAAATGAAATGATGACACAGGGCAAATTAGCAGTTTTAGCAGAAAATGTGAGTAAAAATGGACATTTCTCCAGGTTCTGAACTTATCCAGGGGAAGTACACAATGGGGGCATCATGAATATAATACAGTATTTCTTTTTTTCCCTCATAAAAACATAGTTTTCCAGATTCACAAAATCCAACAGATCTACCACCTTTGTTGACTTAACACCATTTTTAAATTCAAACTCCAATTTACTTTAAAAAGATGACTCTTACAATAGCACATAAATTAGCATAATAGCATAGCATTTAGCTGGTGAAACCGACAGATAGGAGTGGCATGATCAATATATTAAATAAATATACCCAACTACTGGACGGCTCTAATAATTTCCCATTTTTTATACAAATTAATTACTGCAGGTTTTGTCAGCTGCAGTTTCACCACCCTCCCCCAAAATAGCTAATAACCCTATTTTGGCTCCAGTGCACATAAACAATACAGCCATTCTTGTAAAGTCCTAAGTTGGCTTGAGAAGTTATTTTGCCCTTTGTTATATGAGAAACTGCCTTGTATTCAGTCATCACAAAACTATAGTAACTGTGTTATCAAGAGGTTCTATTATATGCATACGTGTTAGAAAACTGACAGCATCTATATTAATCAGGCTAAGCCCTTTAAAAGCTCTGTGGGTTTTTTTTTTTCTTCCTCGCCCTAACATCTTGGAAAAGGAACAGATAGAATATAGGTAGAAAGTTTCACAAATGCTACTTCGTTTGGTGTCACAATGGTAACAAACAGGCAGCTATCAAGATTTACAGGATAAAGTCTTGAGATACCTTAGTTATGGAATACAGCTTTGTAAATACAGTAACAGGATCCCTTTGAAAATTATGCAAACAAAATTCTTAAGAGGACTTGTTAAGTTTGCTCCAGGGTGCCTGCACACTGCTAAGCTTGGAATCTGATCTGATCTCCATTGAGACTCATCTAAATATTTAGAATAGAATAACAGAGTTGGAAGGGACCTTGGAGGTCTTCTAATCCAATCCCCTGCCTAGGCAGGAAACCCTACACCACTTCAGACAAATGGTTATCCAATCTCTTCTTAAAAACTTTCAGTGTTGGAGCATTCACAACTTCTGCAGGCAAGTTGTTCCATTAATTGATTGCTCTGTCAAAAAAAATTCTCTAGTTCTAAGCTGCTTCTCTCCTTGATTGGTTTCCACCCATTGCTTGTTGTCCTGCCCTCAGGTGCTTTGGAAAATAGCTTGACTCCCTCTTCTTTGTGGCAACTCCTGAAATATTGGAACACTGCTATCATGTCACCCCCAGTCCTTCTTTTCATCAAACTAGACATACCCAATTCCAGCAACCATTCTTTATGTTTTAGCCTCCAGTCCCTTAATCATCTTCGTTGCTCTTCTCTGCACTCTTTCTAGATCTAACAGATTGGTTTAATCTATTTTGAGGGTCTTCTATCTACTCTGGCTCTCCAATATTCATGGCTAATGTGAATAACTTTGAATGAAAATGCTGTGGTCTCTCTAGGTATCGGAGTTCATTAGACTCTGAAAATGCTCTGAAAAAAATGGGGGGTCTTTGACTCAAGCAGCAGAATTCATCAAACTGAAGCTGTGAAACTTTTTATATACCTGATGTTATTTTTTCTGATGGATCCTCCTTCTCCTCTTCCTTCTTCTCATCTTCTGCACTAATGAGGTCAGAGACAAGATCGTTTACTGTTTTGTAATTCTCCCCTGTTGTTAAGATTTTACTCTGAACTGTTTGCTTGACCAGTCTTCTGCTGAATCCCATCTCCAAAACAGCTTCAACCATGGGTGTTTTCATGATGACGGCATCTTCTGAGGTATTTTCACCAGGTTCAAAATGGATAACTATTCAGAGAAAAACAGTCTAGCATTATTTCTCGAAATACCAGTATCTTACCAGGTTCAAAATAATTAAAAACAAGACAAATGAAAAAGAATCACTTCTGTACTGGATCCCACATCTAGTATACCTTGTTTCCCCCAAAATAAGACATCCCCTGATAATAAGCCCAATTGGGCTTTTGAGTGCATAGCAATAAGGCCAAGCGCTTATTTCAAGGTTCAAAAAAAATATAAAACAGGATTTTATTTTCAGGGAAACACGGTACTGGAAATCCAAGTTCTTTTTCCTAAAAAAGAGGCATACATATTCCAGCTACATTCTTCAAACACAGAATGTGAGTATATGAAGATGTCACATCCTGAATCAAGCCTTCAGTCAATTTAGTTTGCTATTCCCTATTCTCTCTCAGATTCATGTCAGCTTCATTAGTCCCACTGCTTGAAAAAGTCATAATTAGACAATAAGGCCTCAAATTCAGGCCTTGTATACACTACTGAATTATGCCACTTGCTTTAAGGTTTAAACTTAGCCTCCTCAACAGATCTTTTATTCTGTTTTATTCTGTTATTGTGATCTTGTGTAGACATGGTAATTTAGAAAATATATATATAACCATATTCACCACCAGAGGGCTTTGGTGATTTAAAAAGGTATATATTTGGATATCTATGGAGATTTTAAGCAAGCAGCTAAAAAAGGTTAATTTTCACTTACGTTTTATAGCGCAAGTTGATTTTATTGCAAAATTGAATGTTTCTGGTTTAAGTTTAAATTTGAATGGTCAGCGTCAGAAATGTTTGACTTAAAAACCATGACAAAGTATCTTACTAACTTAGTAAGAATAACAAAACCAAATTGCTACAGACCATGTGTTAACATCTGAGTGCTAGATTCCCATATCAATTTTATAAATGCTATCAAAATTCTGAGAAGAGCCAGTCTGGCATAGTTGTTACAAGGAGTGGGCTAGAAAATCAGGAGATCTGACATTAGAGTCCTGCCTTGGCCACAAAATCAGCTGCATAACCCTGGGTCAGTCCTTCTCTCTTAGCCTTAGGAAGGAGGCAACGGAAAACTGTCTCAAAAACTCTAGGGACCTATCCAGGTAATCACCAAGAGTCAACTCTAACGCAAAGGCACAAAATAAACAAATCAAAATACTTACTTGGTACTTCTGTATTTTCATCTACAGGTGTATCTGCAGTGGATAACAACTGCAACACAGATAAGAAAAAAAAAAACAGATTTTTAGAAGGAAATGTTTGCTTTTTGAAAGGATACATTGCTCACAAAGAGTTTGCTAACAGTTAATACTTTTAACCAATCTTTCTCAATACAATTCCATGGGATAGATTGAAGCTGCAACATTTGAGAACTGTCCACATGTTGTAGTCCCAAATTATCTGGGTGCCACTAATTTGGGGGAACTGGTGAATCTTCAGCCCAAATATCTGCATGTGCTTTGATTAAAATGCCATGCTACACTGCACTTGATCCTAGTTCATTATATAAATGTTGCCATGTTTCTGTAATCATGTGCAAAATCAATCAGATACAGATAATTCTCGACTTATGATCATAACTGAACTCTGAATTATGGTCATAAGTCATGCTAGTCATTAAACAGGTCACCATGCGACTACACCCGATTTTAAGATCTTTTCAGCTGCAGTTGTTAAGTAAATCACAGAGGTCTTTACATGAATCATTGTCCATCATGGGCCTTTTTATTTTGCTGAAATCAGAAACAAACACCAGTTTCCAAGGGAAAAAAACCCCGTAAATCAGTCATGAGATCACAGGATGATCCAAACAGCTGTATATGCAGAGCAGTTGCCAAGCACCCAAATGCAATCATGTGACTGTGGGTGGGTGAGTGGGAGGAGTCCATCAGAATTTTGAATTCGGGTTGTAATAACCCTGGGGAGGTCCATCGTAACTTCAAACAGTTGCTAAGCAACCAGTCTCAAGTCAAATACTACTTTTACTACTTGTCCACAACAGCCAACAAAGCCCATGCCTGTTATTTATCCAATTTTATGTAAGTTTTTTTACAGGCAGCATATTTATAGTCTTTAATCGCTCAATCTTTTAGCTCTATCATCAATCTTTTAACTCTTAACAAAACAGTCTAGGAGCAGACTGTTTTCACATTATAATGCTTTATTTCACAGCCTCTGTGGTCTTGGTTAAAGCCTGAAACAAATGGATTGCACTGTTCTTTTACAAAACCACAGTGTGGTGTCCTTGCTAGAGACAATATTAGTAAGGGGGCTCTAAACCTTCCCTCCTACTTCAAAATACTGCCTGCCAGAGCTTACCCTATTCTTGTAAACACAGTCTGATCAGATAAAGTTCAAGGTAGCATACAATTTTGAAAACAGGTTAATTCTCTCAACAAATATATGCACTATGCTGCAAAAGAAAAAGCACATCAGGCTATTATGGAAAATGCAACAGTACTTGCATACCTGTTGAAGAAGATGAGGATACCTTGCTTGAACTTGGCGGACAAACTCTTGACCTTTCCTATAAATCAGGTATTCACAACTAGAAGAAAAAGTATACCAAGTTTAAGTTTTAATATGCAGGATATCAGCTCTTTTAAGAATATTTATTAGCCACAATGCTCTGCTTAATAAGCCAAAGATATATTTATTAAAACCTACCTAGGACAATACACTGAAGCATTAAATATAGTCAAGCTGTCAAAAATGGAATTTAGATGTGAAAAACATTATTACCCAATCAACACTGAGAGCACCAAAACCAATTAATCCCCTCTATGAGGCAGATACTAAGTATATAGTAGTCTTTATTTTATATTCAATTTATATCCTGTTTATTACATCTCAAAATAATCCCAAATTAGTGCCAAACATCTTCACTACCAATGGAATCTTTATTATATGCAATTGTATTAGAAAATCAAGAACTTAATTTTTGAATAAATCCTATCTTAAGAGCTGTTTGGCCCGGAGCCTTAGAATGGTGAGCCAAAATTTTATTTATTCCTAAGGTTTTGCTTAACCCCATGGCCAAAAGGAGTTATTTATTCCATTCTCTGGATTAAAATCACTTTTAAAAAAATCTAACTTCAGTTATTCAGAATGCAACCTAATCAGTACAGTACTTGATTAGAACTTAGGTAGAACAGCTTTGTTAAACACTTTAGTATCTAGTGTTCTTTAAAAAGGTAAGTATTGTTTAACCCAGCAGAACTTTTGAAAATAACTTTTGAAATAGCTAGAGTAAGAATGCTTTTATTCTTGAATCAATATTCAATATCTTGCTTTCCACAGCAGTTAAGAATATGCTCCAGGAAAGCAAACAAGATTTCTCCCTCAGCATGTTTTCATGATGGCTGTGTAAATACACAAAAAAAAGGTCTATGAACAACCTATTTTCAAATAAGTAAAGAAACCATACATTTTTCTCCAACAATATATGGCAGTTGTATCTAGGATAAATAATATGCAGCCACATCTTGATGGATTTTCAGATAATTCTGACCACCTTAAAGTTCAGTTCTAAGCAAGTTATGACAGCTAATAATTCCATGTGTTCTCCAAAACTTTAGATTCATTTCTTGAATAGCAATGTTCCTTAAAAATAGATCTCACTGAGGAATCCTTTTTGGAGAAACAGTTCTACTTTCAATAGGACAAAAGTATTACAATAACCTCTTTGTTATTACATTTTTAAAAAAATGAAAGGTACCTTGGAAACCATTTAGCATGCTCCACCCATGGATCATCCCCAGTCTCCCAACACCTGAGTCCACCATCGCAGCAGAAGCATTTGACATCATCATTGCGACCTTAACAACAACAACAAACATTTCATGGAGTAATTAGACAGAAAGACAAACGGTAAATTTAAACTGTTGAAAAATCAGATTAAAATCCAAAACGTGAAAGAACAAGTTCTTACCCACGTAATAGAAGCCAGCATCTGCCAGTTGCTGTGGATGAACTGGAACCGTTACTGGCCAATTTTTGAAGGTTCTGAAACGGCCTATGTAGTTTTGCATGCCCAAATTAAAGCCAGTCAAACTTGAACAGTTCTGAATTTGTTCCACAAAAGGACAGTTTGGGAAATGCCTTTGATGTTCTGATATAGCATTGTCCTTTGGTTCCCAATTACTCAACTGACCACCACATGCAAAACAAGCCACCCTGTCTGAAGGGCCTACATAATAAAACCCAGCTTTGGCTAAAGAAGATGGGGACAAAAATGTCAGGGGCCATGCCTTGAAACTGAGTAATCGGCTTTCTTCCGTGCTCATCATAGGGTTGAAAGCCTTTGGTCTCAAATGCGACAGATCTTCTACTGCTGCAGATTTAACTGGATTATGAGGAAGACTGGAAAAGCTTCCACTGTAATACCCAACTTGACCCAAACTTAAGGCTTGCATTGAAGAATGTGAAAAGTTCAGTCCAGAGGTAGCTGGAGGTGAAAAGGCAGAACGAAACGAGGATCCAAGGTTAGTCACTGAAGTCAGACTCTGAACAAAACTGCAACTGGGATAGAGTTGCTTATGCTTCTCCAGGGCACTGTCACCTTTTTTCCAGTTATCCAACATTAAGCCACAATTGTAACATTTCACTTTGTCTTTCAGACCAGTGTAATAGAAACCAGCTCGAGCAAGACTCCTTTCAGATACTGGTACATTCGATGGAAAAGTGGAATATGTAGACATCCTGTAAAGTTCACACGATAAGTCATACTTCAGTTCTGTCACCTCTGCGTCATTCTTCAGTTTTGGCAGAAATGAGCCAATAACATTCATGATGAAGATAAAACAGGAGAGGAGTAAAGGAAGAGTCTGAAGTTTGGGAGATAATTTTGTGCAATTCTTATCAACTTCCAGGCCATAATAAAATAAAAACCTGAAAGTTAACGTTACATGCAATGCTTATTTTCTTTTTTTATTACTTCACTTTAGTAGTTCCTTTTTGACAGGGTAATTTGTTCCCAATTTCACAATCCAGACTTTTTTAAAAATATGGTAGTTCCCTTTTCTTCTATAATTACAGAAGTCTTAGTAAAATGAGGGAGGAGCATATTTAAAATAAAGGAAGTTTGAAGAAACAATTAAGGCTTTAATTATAAATCTGTATACATGGGGCTTCTCTCCCAATGAATCTCAATTCTTTCCAAATGAAATAATGGAGGAATATTGTTTAAACTTTTATTTCTGAAAGAGCAAGGTCAAAATAATGGATCTAAGGAGGACTATCCGTATGGTACTACAGAAAAGCCAACTTAAATCAAATGCACATCTTTGAACACCTCTCCTTACAATAAGAAACCATTTTTTTCTTATCAATATACCACTTCACTCAGTAATACTTCACAAAATTCCTCAAAGGTTATCCTGACACATATGAATGAAATGTGATCAAAGGAATTTTGGTCACCAAAAATTCTTCTAACAGGCTTGGACTGTTGTCTTTTTTATATTCTCACTAGTATAGTGAATTTTCAGTCAGGCTGCATTATTATTATTAAAGGATTACTGAATTTAATAAGTTTATGGAGATGTCGAACCCAAAGCAGCAGTTTAAATTCATTAACCAAAATATCATTGCAGATAATGTTTGATAAGTGGATGTAGCTGTCCTGCATAGTGGCAAAAACCAATTTGAATATTTATGCACAAAATTATCTCCCAAACTTCAGACTCTAGTCCCTTCAAGGGGCTTAAGCAGCCATAATGCAATATGGTATTCACAAGGAGAAATGTTTACAAAAAGACTTAAAAATACGTTTTTTTCGGGTTTCTGAAACCTGCATGAAAAGAAAAATACGTAAGCTCCTTTAAACAATTAACTTTGTATATAAACTGTTAGAAATAATGCATATATAAAGTTTAAACTTTATTCCATGGTTATGTTTTTGGATTAAAAGTTTAAAACTTGTGGTTCATCAGTCACAAAAGACTAGAAGTGCACAAAATCCTATTGTATCTATATTAAATCATCAATTTACAGATGAGTTACTCAACCTTTGCAAATTAAAATCTTCCAGAGTTCAACTTCTAAAACTCAGGTTGACTACATAGCTCTGAACAAACCCCAACACTCTTTAGTATCTTAAACTTATACTTACAATTTCCTCTAGATAAAAACTTTAACTCAACTGTGCATTGTAGGTATCACTAGAAGGCAACGGCTGTCTTCTTTTTTTTATCCATGTTATAAAAATAACCCTGGATTTTCAGCCTCCTTAAAATAAAGTTGCTACAGTAAACAAAAAAAGATCCACCTCGGGACCAGATCATCTAGTGCAGGGATGGGCAACTATGACAACTTCAAGACCTGTGGACTTCAACTCCCAGAATTCCTGAGTCCATAGTTGTCATAGTTGCCTAATCCTGAGCTAGTGCTTTCCAAACTTTTACATCTCTTTGTGGCAGTCAGCGTGGCTAATACCAGTTGATGTAACTGCAGTCAAAAATACTTAAATTTAGAATCAGGTAAGCTATTCTTGATTCCTCAAAAAGAAATTGCAGAAATCTGTTTAGACTAACACAATTTTTGATCACTGTGATGGCAAGAACCACTTTAATATGGCATACACACACATATATATGTTTGATCCCTTCTGTCTAATTATAGAAACATCAGTGAATATGTATATCTTATTTAGAAAAGAGGTGGAAAGGAATGGTTTCATAGAGTGAAGCCAAACCAAAAAGATAAATATACTTTAGGATACAAATGTAAATGAGGTTCAGGCAAGTTAGTAATTTACTAAACTTTTATGTGAACTCTCAACAAGTAATTATAATAAGAGATCCAGAATAGGTGTAACCCAACTCAGAAACCAGCAATTCGGGGTGAACTGGCAGTGCAAGACATTTAGAAGTATAAAGAGATTTACAAATGGGAAACCTATGAAGACACCTTTGTTGTATTACTTATGTCCTACATTAAAGACTGGAGCTTGAAAATGAAGAATGGATGAAACCATTTCCCAAAAGCTCTAAAATAATGTATCTATCTTCTATTAAGCTGTTAACTCTTTAGTACCCAATGACTAATCATAATTAAGATTGTGTACAACTATAATGGTCTAATTTAAACTTAACACAACACTCAATGGAAAGCAGAGAAGAGTAGCTATTATTATTATTAGACTTGTATTATAACAAATTCATCTGGAGATCAGATGAATATCAAAAGCACCAGGATAACTGATATGAGGAAACTTCTAAAGTCTGTCTTTGTTGTAATTAGGGATCCTTTGTGTTTTCTGAGCTTGGCTGCAGACTTTTCATTATCCAACTAGGTTACAGCAATGATGTTACCCAGTTTGGGTAATGAAACATCTGGAAGAAAACAACCAAACTCAGAGAGCACAAAGAACCCCTCATTTCAACCCTGAGCTACCAATACTCTCCTTTATCAGTATCGTTATAATTAAAGGTGTGGACTGACTGCTAGGAAACAAATATAATTAAATTATAGAAATCTTAACTGAGCAGATCAGTAGGACTGTATAAAAAGAAGAGGCAGATTACCATCAAATGAAGCCATTTGCTATATCATATCTTGTTCATATCTAGCCGGTTTTTGTTAAAATCACAGAAGTAGTGTTAAACAGATCATGGACATGATCAAAAGCAGTAATGTTTATGCGTCTTTAGTCAACTGTATTTAATTCCTACATTCATCTGAATCCAGTAACTCTGGGCACTGAGAATTATCCACAAGTTATTCTTTCATTATCAGAAATTTCATCTTCTAAGCTAAAAGATCTTCTAAAGGATCGGGATGACATTTGAACCTCACTTTTCTAGCTCTATAGAAAAATATACGCTATATTCTTGTCCTAATAAGTCCAGCCAACTTCATAAAACAACATTTTGAAACTGTATTCAGGGAAAACCCTGAAGGCTCCTAAGAAGCTTATCAGCAAGGACAGACTTGTTTTTAGAAAGATCCACGGACTTCAACATCCTTAGACAGCCTTTCCAACATGAATCTTTCCAAATGTATCACTGTACCTCTAATAATTTATTCCCAGGCATCTGGGAACTGTGGAAGACCCAACCCTGATGCAACTAGGTCATTAGCTTGGTTTTGGTCAATTCACTACAATCATCGTCAGAGCCAGTATTTATTATGAGGACCCAAATTGTTGGGGGCAATAGGCTGACTCTGTAAGCCGCTTAGAGAGGGCTGTAAAGCGGTATACAAGTCTAAGTGCTATTGCTAGTATCTTAAAACATATAATCCTCCAGATGTTGCTGGAGTGCAGCTTTCAGGATCCTCACCACTGGATATACTGATGAAAGCTGCCATCACCCTACCCAGAAGGCCAAAAAATAATAATAAGAGGTTAAAGCCTCCTCTGAATCAGGCTTCACTTCTGGCCATTGCACAATTGCACCCCTATTATTTGGGGGCTTGTCGATCAGAAAAGGTGGGCAGTTCGGCGGTTCGAATCCCTAGTACAGGTCTCCTGCGTGAGCAGGGGGGGGGTTGGACTAGATGACCTCCAAGGTCCCTTCCCACTCTGTTACTGTTAGTTATTTAGCTGTAGCCCTGAGATTTCCCTGTGGTCTTCTTTCCCCAATCGCTCAACCTCTCCAACCACGTTTAGCAATCGGGGATCAGCAAGGTCCACGCCCCCCCCCCCCCCCCCCCCCAAAAAAAGCACAGGCAGCGCCCAGTCTCAGAGGCGGGATTCACAATTTGCCCTTGTTAGCAGCTGCACTTACACAACTCTTACGCAGTCAAAGCTCAAAGCTTTCTGAGCACCCGGAAAATGGGTAATCAGCAAGTCGGTGTGAAAATAGCAGCTTCGATTACACACACACACAAACACGTATATACATATACATACCTGTGTGTGTGTGTGTAGGTACACACAAACACACACACAGAGCACCCCAATATCTCAGCCCCCCTCCCCCTCCCTCCCGCATTGTCCAGAGACGTCGCCGCAGCAAACCCCGCCCACGCCGCCCCACGCGTGCGCAGCCCCCACTTACCTCCGCAGCCGACGGTTAGTCTTTCATGCGAAGGGCGAGCGCAAACTTTGATATATATATATAGAGCGTCGCGAGGAGGGGAAGAATCAAAACGGACGTCAAACCACCAAGGCGTTGGGCGGAAGCCCCGCCCCCGGTTTGGGGAGTATGAAAAAACGGAAATTCGAAACAGGGCTCCGCCCCCATCCTATTGGAAGGGGAAAAAAACAGAGGGCGGAGCCTTTTAGTCTCCGTGACGGCGTGACGGTTCTTATAACAAAGGGCGTATGGGCTCCTCTGGACGCGCATGCGCCAACTGGGTTCTATGGCGGGGGCGTGTGGCTTCGATTGTGGTGCTGTGTTGTTGTTTCTTTTCCAATTCATTCGACTTCCGCAGGGTTGGTTCGTTTTCCCCACTTCGGGAAAAGGAGCCTGATCTGAATTGCAAACGAATCCAGAATTTTCCTAATCGGATGGCCTCCCAGCGGGTTTATTTGCAGAGTTTTTTTTTTTAATTGACTCTTTGGAAAGAGTTCCGTGGGTCGTGGGAACTTCGAAAAATTTCCTGATCGGGATCGGGGAAAAAACCCCACGATTTTCCTAAATAGGCTGGGGGGTGGGGGTAAGAACCGTGACGTCCCCGAGTCTAGGAGGGACTGTGCCTTCCATTCTCTTTTATTCATTATTATTATTATTATTATTATTATTATTATTATTATTATTATTATTATTATTATTATTATTATTATTACAGTGAGATTCACAGTCTTTGAGGCTGGTTAATAGCTCAGCAGCTCGAGTCCTAACCAAGGACCTAGGAACTGTTAAGGTATCGTTGGAGGATGTAAGCTGAGTAAGGTGGTTTTTTGTAGAGTCAAAATGTTCAAGTCCGGCAAATTTAGAATTTCTAAATAGCGGGGTAGCCCTTTGGGTATTGCTCCAAGGGCTCCAATTACAATCGGGACAGCATACGATTTCTTTTTCCACAGTCGCTCAACTTCAAGTTGCAAGTCCCGGTACTTTGTGATTTTTTTTCTTGCTGCTTATCTTCAATCCGTGCATCACCAGGTATTGCAATGTCAATGAACCATACTTTTTTCTTTTCAACTATTGTTATGTCAGGTGTGTTGTGGACCAAGTGCCTGTCAGTCTGAATCCTGAAGTCCCACAAGATCTTGAGTTTCTCATTCTCTAAAACTTTCTCAACCTGATGTTCCCAGTGGTTTTTGCTGTACTCAAATCCAAACTTCTGGCACAATTTCCAGTGAATGATCTTAGCAACGTGGTCATGGCGTTGTAGGTAGTCAGTTTGTGAAATTTTGCTGCACCCACTGATCAGGTGGTCGACTGTTATTATTATTATTATTATTGGTTAATCTTTAGTGAGATTCACAGTCTTTGAGGCTGGTTAATAGCTCAGCAGTTCAAGTCCTAACCAAGGACCTAGGAACTGTTAAGGTATCGTCAGAGGATGTAAGCTGTTCCGAGTAAGGTGGTTTTTTGTAAAAATGTTCAAGTCCGGTAAATTCAGAATTTCTAATTATTATTATTATTATTATTATTATTATTATTATTATTATTATTATTATTATTATTATTTCTGCTAAGAGACCCACTGTCAAGGATCACCGATTTTTCAGGCTGCAGGACTGTGCCCGTGGACAGATAAGCCATGGCATCAAGACTTGGGAGGTGGTGGGGATAGTGGAGAAAGGAAAAAATAACCAACTTTTTGGAGATAGGTAGGAGGAGATTTGTCCAATTTTGCCCCTGTTTTGCAATGTGTCTTAAACATTGGAGGAGACTCACATGGGAAGGACCAGAAATAGAATAGAATAGAATTCTTTATTGGCCAAGTGTGATTGGATACACAAGGAATTTGTCTTTGGTGCATACACTCTCAGTGTACATAAAAAGACAAGATACATTGGGGACAGAGGGCGAGAAAATGGAAGGAAAAAATCTTAAGGTGTGCATTGCAAAATGGATTTTGGTAGGTTGCAATGCCCCCAGGCTGAGTTTTTGCAGGGCAAGTGTTTGAATGCTTCCTGCTGGAGTAACTTCACAGCTTGACCTCTTGAGTTGGACCTAAGAGAGCAGCAGGCTATAATAGCAATAGCATTTAGACTTGTATACCGCTTCACAGTGCTTTTACAGCCCTCTCTTTACAGAGTCAGCATATTGCCCCCAACGGTCTGGGTCCTGAAGGATGGAAGGCTGAATCAACTTTGAGCCTGATGAAATTCGAACTGCCAAACTTCCGGCAGCCAGCAGTCAGCAGAAATAGCCTGCAGTACTGCTTTCTAACCACTGCTCAACCACGGCGTATAATGTGGCCAGTGGCCATAAGGAGATACCAGCTTCCTTCTCATAGAATGATGGGTCATTCTGAAGCAATTATTTCTGAGCTGTTTTCTACCACCGCCTTAGCTTCCACTTGATCTGGGCTCTAGATACTCTACCAGCTTCAGTTTGAAGTCCTACATGGTAGCATTTACACATAGGCACTTTTTTTCCCCCTCGCTCTGCCTATGCAGAACATGCTTAGATTTAGAAGTTGGGTTAAGATGTGGTGTGAAACACACTGTATTGCTGAATTCCTCATTGTGCTGGCTTGAGTTATATAAGTCATTCAAACCAAAGTTTTAATGTACCACTATGAATTGTGCCACATTTTGGCACAGTGTTAAGGGGGGGGGATCCATAACTAATTTTCCCAAGGGTTAAACATGATTGATGTCAGCAGTGTGTGTGTGTGTGTGTGTGTGTGTGTGTGTGTATAAGTTTCGGCTATTTAAGGCACATGTGTAAGTACAGATGGGATCTATCTATCTATCTATCTATCTATCTATCTATCTATCTATGCATATTCTTTCTAGCCAGGTTTTACCTACGTAAACTAAGTTGTTCTACAGCCCTGGTTCTGTGAAATCTCATTCACAAGTTTCTGGGCCTTTTTTCTGCTGACAAACTGCAACTCTCCCAGAGAGCAACACAGAGTTGCAGTTTGTCAGCAGAAAAAAGGCCCAGAAACTTGTGAATGAGATTTCACAGAACCAGGGCTGTAGAACAACTTAGTTTACGTAGGTAAAACCTGGCTAGAAAGAATATGCACATAAAAGCCTACGAAAAAGGAAAAAAGACACACACATACACACCCTGTTTCCCCCAAAATAAGATGCCCTGATAATAAGCCCAATCGGGCTTTTGAGTGCATGGCAATAAGGCCAAGTGCTTATTTCAGGGTTCCAAAAAATATAAGACAGGGTCTTATTTTCAGGGAAACACAGTATATATATTCTATGTCTTTCTGTCTCTATCTATCTATCTATCTATCTATCTATCTATCTATCTATCTATCTATCTATCCCATCTGTACTTACAAGCATGCCTTAAATAACTCAAACTTGGTCTCTGTGGGCCACCAATAGGGCTAAAATGCTTATTAAATATGAGGTGGATGGTTAGGAAAGTAGTAATTGTATCCTGATGATTTTTCTCCGTGCTCAAAAGCACAGCTGAAAGATTAGTGTAAGGCTGCTGAGTTGATAGGAACATTTTGAAATAAGGAAACATGAATCTTTTTCTTCTAGGAAATTCCAGATCAAAGCAAGCTTTCGTTTTGGACAAAATTTTCGGGGTAAATTAAAAGGTAAAATTTCTGATTACTCTATGATTATCACAAGATGGAAAAACTACCATTGGTCATGCAGAAAATCAAGACTGGTATTTTATTTCAGTATAAACACCATTCATTTTAAATCTGGTTTTGTAGAGTTAAGACTTTGAAACAAAGATCCATTCAATTAGGTACAGAGAGTTCAAGAACATTAGGGGCTTTCTGTCCAGGGGAATCCCAGCAGCGATGTTTCCATTTCGGATAAGCACATTTTAAAAGGGGAATTCCAGTCCTTGAATTGTTTCCTGTATGTGTCATGGCACAGCCAATAAGCTGCGTGGCAGATTCGCTAACAGGAATCTTTTGAGTGCTGCCAACATCGTTGATCTGTGACCACTAGCTTATTTTTAATGAAGTTTGTGCCATAGTCTTCAACAAGGCATAGTATTTCTCATTCAGGTATCTGATTGCATGTGTTTCTATAAATGACAAAAAGTACATTCACGAGTCTCTCACTTCCCGAATGTTATGAAAATGAATGAATATGTATTTTAGTCCCAGTGGGTTTTTCATAGTGTTTCAGACTGCTTTAGATGTAAATTGATTAGGTATATATTCTATTATAGTATCCCTGTCTTCTTGTGCAGTTCAATGGAACTGTTTATGCAACCTAACTGATTAAAGGATAAAAATCACACTGCTGGCTATTTCTTTGTCTGGCTTTGTTTAATAAACCTTCGCTACAGTGCAGTTTTATTTCTAGATGTTTCCACTATACAAAATCTCTGCAAGTTATAAATAACATAGCATTTGAAAAAGTGCTTTTCTTTAAGAAACAGATTGTACGCCATGGGTGGCTATGTAAATATGACTTATAAATAAATAAAATATTGGTTAAAATTTGTGTGGATTGTCAAAAAAAAAAAAGTCATTTAATTGTCTGGCCTCTTAATTCTATTCAATTATGTTGTCATCACAGTAAATCATGGTTTTCATAACTGGTATTTTCAGTGACCAAAGTTTACTGCATGCGCACGCATCCTCAGTCATAAATCATCCTTCCAAGGTCGGTAAAATGAGGACCCAGATTATTGGGGGGCTGACTCTAAACTGCTTAAGGAGGGCTGTAAAGCACTGTGAAGGGGGTTTATACGTCTAAGTGTTATTGCTGTTTAAAAAGCACACACTACAGTTAGCCAAAATAAACCACATGTGATGGTTTGTCATTTGTTCAATTCAACCTCTCTGCTCTGTTTGGAGCAGAAACAGACTGCTAAGGCCTAAATGCGACCCTTCATAATAGATAATAGTAATAATAGATAATAGTAATAGTGCCAGTCCTACATTCTCCCCCCCCACCCCTTTTTTTTTTTTTTTTTTGGAGATTTTGGGAGTGATTTGGGAAATGGGGAATTCCTGGAGTTGTAAATCCACATATTTTAAAATTGCCAAGGTTGAGAAACGCTGATTTAAGAAATAAAAGTTACTCTTTAACCTTCCCAAAGCCCAAAACAGGAATTGCTTTGGTGATG